TATGTAGTGGCAGCAAAACAAAAACTATGTGGAAAGTTAAATAACACTGTGCAGAACTTCGGAAGAAAATAGAGTTTGTAATGTTTCTTAAAGCCAGTCACTAACCATGACTAAGCCTTGCTTTGTTACAAGATGATACTCATGAAAGCAAGCAATAAAATACAGGGGAACAACTATCCAGAATGGATGGAAACACTGTACTGGCTGTTCAGCAATATAAGGGGAAATTAATAACTCTCATAAGCAGAAAAGAAGATATTTAAGGAAAATCTCCTGCTGAGGAGAGTTGTAAGTATGGCAGAGGAGCTTACATGAACTACTGCTTTAATCTGGACAAACAGGATGATGTGCTATGAAGTACTAGTCGTTATAGATTCTGTGCATGGGGAATGAGGATAGGTGATATTAAACCATGATTTGTGTTGTGTGATGCATTTAAATATTTCAATTATCCTTCGAACTATCTATATTCAAACTCAAATTTCTTAATAAACAGAAAAATACTCCTGCTCACATATTCTTGCTCAGCTTTAGAAAGCACAAGAATCACAGAATGTCTCAGGTTGGAAGGGACCTTAAGGATCATGAATCTCCAGCCCCCTGCCACATGCAGGGCCACCAACCTCCACATTTAATACTAGACCAGTCTGCCCAGGGCCCCATCCAATCTAGCTTTGAACACCTCCAGGGACGGGGCATCCAAAACCTCTCTGAGCAGCCCATTCCAGCACCTTGCACTTCGCCGTGCACCTGAAGAGGTTCACCCAGACTGTGATGTTGCTGTGTCTACCATGACATAAACTCAAGATAAAAAAGAGGCTTCGTGAACTTCAATCCACTTGGAACTACTTGTTCAGCTGCTAGACGTTCCTGCACCTTCACTGCACAAAGACTACGTGTTTGGCTCTCTCACTAATATTAAATAATGTCCCTCATATCTTCCTTCCCAACACCTTTCCCAATTCCCCAGTGTAACTGTTTGTCCATTAAAAAAGATGCAAAGCAGCAGTGACATCACTTTTACAATAGCATTGGTGCTATTAAGCCTAAGCTGGAAAGTCCTTTGTGCCATTTCTAATAAAACAAACGTTACAACTGCTCAGCTCTCCTCCTGTGCATTAACTTGGTGACAGACAATGAACATGGTGTGGTGCATTCAGCCTGCCACCTTCAGCACTGGTAAGGGAAAAACTGGTAATACATACAGTGCTTGAAAACCTGAAGATGCAACTGGCAATATGTTCTTGCATACACTTCATTTAATAGAAATCATGCAGCTAATTGGAGCTGTTGTTTGAAAATGCATCTTTAAAGCACGTGATCTGCCCCAGCTGAGGCTGCTTGAAGAGGAAGCTGAACTGAACAGTGTAGTTCACTAACAAACACTATAAGAAATGATTTCCTCTTTTCCAGTGTTAAAAAAACAAAACAACAAACAGATTGATACTGTTAACTAGATACTGTTCAGTAAAACTGACAAACTTTTGTGTCATCACAGAAGACCTACTTTAATAGAGTTCAACTGTGAAACGGGGATGGGATTTAAAGGAAAAAATAAAAAAGAGAGAGAAAATTATGTGGCATCAGCTCAGGCGTCAGGCTATTCTGGAAAACCCCTGAATTATGCACTGTCATGTCTGAGTTCAGAGACACTGCTGCTATTTTAAGAAGAATCCTTGCTGAAGATGAGTCCATTTGCTGTTACTACTGCTGTGTAGGCCAGTACACAGTTACACACTTAAATAGCTTACTTGTCACATAGCCTTTAGGCACATCTCACATGGGAATGCTCTCCTCAACAGAACCAAGCTTTTCTGCAATGGAAAAGTGTAGTAATTCAGCACTTGCATTTGGAGATTTCTGCACTGTGTGTAGACTGACACATCTCACAACTGCACAATGCATAGTACAAATGCACTAGTTTTCATTCTCAGGGGCCCATGTCTGCGCTTAGTTTACATCTGTACATGGCTGACTTCTAGGGTAATCTAAACAGGTCTAGCATTGAACCAAAATGTTTGGCTCTTTGACAGCCTTATCTAGCAACGGCAGCAAGATCGGCATTTGGCACAATATCTCATTTATAGACCAAAGCCTTTTTGTCGAAGTGTCTTATGACAGTGAAATAATAAACAAGTAAAAGCAGCATTATCCACACTCTTTAAGCCAAGAGAAAATTATCAAGTATGCCTTATTTTCTAAAATCAGAACTACTCAATTTTATGGGCAAGACTCTTCAGCTGAGTCCCTCCCCTCTGCTATATAGATTGTACACTCAATTACACAGCTGCACAAATCATGACTGTTGGAAGGAATCAGTGCTTGCTTTCAACTAAAACCACATCATATGACTAATCATGTCAGCTCTTGTACATACGGGTAGTCTAATGACTTCTGTTTCCAGCCTTTAAATACAATGGCATATCTAGACTTTTTTTTCACCAAGCAGTACTACCTAATTTCCATTTGTTGAAAAGGCAGCTTTAACATCAGCTGCCTTTTCAACAAATGGAAACATCAACATCAACAACAACAAAACAACTGCAACATCAACAACAACAAAATCATGAGACAATCACAGACACTTCTGTATGCTGCCCAGTTAACTCAAGAAGACTCAAGTGCAGCCTTTGAGATCCTATGAACATTCTTAAAACAAAACCAAAGTTCTGTTTCTTAATAGAACTATGCATTTTATTATATTCTAGCCCAACACTGTCAACTGTCAAGGGTGACATAACATATTTGCTTGGTTTGGAGTATGTCTTGTGTAGGCAGGACTGGTCTGTGGAAGGAGATGGGATATTTTTCTTCCAAGTCTATGAAATATTCAATGAAGTCTATGAAGTCTTCAATGACTGGGAGGTTTCACAGGGTTTTACACTGGGAGAACGCCTTCCTACATGATTGCTGCTCATATTAAGTGTCTGACTACTACAATGGAATTTTTTCATATTCCCATCTTCTGGAAACCTTCTATCCAGTGAAGAATGGATTCATATAACATGTCTAAGTGTCTTGTTTTGATCTCCTGAACCTAGAAGCCTGTTTCCCATTTTCATGCTGATTCCAAAGAACAGGATGTTACCAACAGTGATGCCAGTAGTTTACTGAAATCCATTACAACAGAGTCTTGTCAGGAATACAAAATTACTGATGATCATGGAAACGGTGGCCACCTGATGTAGATGCAAGAGAAGGAAATTTGAAATCCAGTTCCTTACAGTCTATGGTACATGGTAACTTGGCTTGTTGCTCCACTGAGCTTGATGTGCTGAAGCATTTGTGACTTCAGGCTCCTGAATCAAAAAGAGTCTTTAGAGCTCATGTGTCTATTTTTCTTCTCTGTCTACTGACAAGCAATCCTAAGAACTTATCGCTAGTAGGCAAAAATAGAGACAGGACAGAAAAAGCTATGGACCTCAAAAGTGTTTCTGGAATGTCAGTGAGGACAAATCTCTCGGGATGAGTTTATGAAAGGACTGCCCTTGAGACCTATTGGAATGCATCCAGAGAGAGGCCACAAAAATAATCCAAGGGGATCCTTGGAGCTCTCCTATGAGGACAGAACTATGAGCTCTCTCCCAAGAGAGCTGGGGCTGTTTTATTTTCCTGAATTTTTTCCTAAAGATGTAATATGTGAATGTGCACAATCTGAAAATCCTGCAGGTTGAACAAAACTTCATCCTTAAGCCTAAACACAACCCAGACTTGTGATCCACACATACTTTAATCTGTGTTACTTCTCATTTAAGATGAAAAAGTGTCCCCCACCAGTCATCATTCAGAGGAAATTTCAACAGTCATCTCATGTGATTTTCCTATCTCTTAAATTTCAATTTCCAACAATCTCCAACAAACTGGCAGCAGGAGTGGACTTCATCTAGCACTCTCACAGCATCTGCAGTCATTTAGTAGTCTGCTTTACCTGCACCCAACTGCAAGCTTCACAGATGAAGTAAAAAAAAATCCCAGTCAGTCTCTGATTTCCTACCTCTAATATTGCAAATATATGGCAATATAGCACATTACAGATTTAATTAACAGAATACCATACTTTAGCCTACCTGATAAGTCGATATTTTTAAGAGCATGAGCAAAATTGAGTAGATTAAAAAATATATATATATCTGTGATAATAACTTTCAATTGTTTGGTAATTTTTGTTATAAAGCATGAAAATCTAAAGGAGGTTTGAAGAGGACTTAAATGAAAAGGCTGATAAATAGTCCGCATAGTATTCAGGCCTTGAGCTTTTGCAATGGATTTCATCTCCCTTTATGCTTTTTTAATGCTACGGTAGATACTTCTAACTGTAATATCAGAATCAATCTCTCTAGATGGAGTACAATCACTTGCACAAATGTAGCAAACTACAGAATTCAGGCATCAGTCTTTGCAATTCTTCCAACATAGACACGAGTTCAGATTCTTTCATCATTGTAACCACCACCTCTGAGGTGCCCCTTGTTAGCTCATTTGCTTGTCAACTTGTATGCAAGTAGCCCTACCATGGAAGACTAGGGCCCAGTGAGGCAGCAGGGAATAGCTATGGCAGCTTCAACATATGCTGTCTTTCCCATTATTCACGGTCAATTTTGAAAGCCAGGGGATGGGCTGTCAATCCATACTGCATGAGACAACTGCATTTTTTCATTTTGCTGATAAGCCAGTTGTCAGAAGTTTTGTTCATTAAAAGAAAAAAGGGAGAGGGGAAAAAAAGAAAAGCAAATCTCTGATATCACCTTGAATGTGGCAGCTGACTTGAAATGAAAAGTAATGAGAAGAATTAAAGAAAATACCTCTAGCCCTTAAGATATCTACTCTGAGTTAATCAGTGCTGATTTTCTTAGTACTCCAGTACTACGATCACCTCCAGTTAAAAGCAACACACTCAATAAGAAAAGTCACATGTTTTTTTCAAACTACGGTGCTTTTAACACTAGGAGATAATTTTCTGGTTTAGATGAAAGCCAGACAGTTGAACAAAGGTTTCTTACCGTTAAGGACAAAGCCATGCAAACAAAAGTGAACTTCTTGATATGTGTCGCTGTGACGGTGCTATTGGTGTTCACCAGTTTATTGCTGGGGTTATTCTAGGGTAAGAGAAAGAGATAACAAGCATTAGCTTGGCTCCAGACTTCTGAGAAGCTGACGGCACTCACAGTCCTTGTGTTGCATCTGACTGTGTGTATGTACATCTTTTTTGCTTGCTTGCTGTTCAATCTAGAGCTTTCTGAGTATTGTGTAGCACCACAGAATATTTTCTGCTGAAGGTGACAGTAACTGCTGCTATGGCTACTGAGGGCTGAGTAATATCCCTGTTTTTCTAAAGAGTAAATCCTATTTAACACATTCAGCTTTAAAAAAGAACGGTAACTCTTTCTAAGAAAATTCCATGTGATTTTTTTTTTTTTTTTACTTAGTTTAAAAATTGTAGCAGTTTTTCACAGGAGAAATGAGATTCCATTCCTTTTTACTCCAGAGTGATACCAAATCCATATATGCTTCCAAGTATACTTACTGATCCAATTAACCAGGGAGATAACATAAACAAAGCTCCTCAAACAGCTGGCTCTGCTAATGCAGATTAATGAACAGAACATAATTAGGACGATTAGATGTTCCACCTTGAACATGGGCTCTGTACTCAGTACACATAGCAGTGAAGTTTTGCTTAAAACAACGAAAACCCTTCCCCAAATGTCTAATGCACCAAACGAAGCTGAAGATTTAAAATTGCCCTCAGGGAACATGTTGAAACAAACTAAATGATCTGTGAAAGAAAAGGAAGAGATATCAAAAGTAGGGCACCATTAGGAGCTCTACAGCAGTCGGGTGTTGGATCATGTACTGCATTTACCCTGGGGCTGTTCGAAATACACTCACCTGTTACCAAACTGGTTAAGAGTGCTGGGGAGATGTAATGCCACACTTATTTACCTTTGTGTATCTCAGATAGAATACCAGTATCTATCACATCTTGCCTTACTGAACTTACGTGTATGAGAAATAGGAACTAGCACAGACACATCTTGGGAATGAAGAAAATGAACATGAGCTCTGTGAAGGGCACACCATTATACACACAGTTGAGAAGTCAATAGAATTTTGTGATTTAAAGATTTTGTAGCAATGAGTGCAGTGATGGCAAGCTGACAGCCTTACTCTCTCAATTAAATATCTACTTGGAAACTTGAGCACATGAAAATTCTTGACCTTTTCATATAAGCATGCCAATCTCTAAAGGAGGAAGCTACCCTCAAGCTTGCCCTTTTGGGGTATAGGTTACGAAAACCTTCTGTAAATATTTTCTTTATGAGTATATCCTTATTTCTTGTGTTTTTGAAGAATATTTTGTTATCATTGATTTCTACATATGTGAAGATGGGCCCTATTTACATCACTCATCAAAGTTTAAACAAACTGCTGCATGGCTCAGCTTTATGACATTTGTTCCTATCTCATGGCTGCTTACACTGCCCTTATTTTATTCTGCCCTTTGCTGTAACTCCTGCCCACACACTCTTTATTCCCGTCTCTTGCACACTGCTTAACTCTTGAATCAAAGCACCATACATAATACAGAGTAAAAAGAGTATCCATTCCCATCTACTTATCAGTAGCACTCACAAATCATCTCATAGTCACTGTGGTTGCTCTGAATCAGATCTGTTAAGGATAATGACATTATCACCATATATTTTCAGGCTGGATGGAGCTCTGAGCAACCTAATCTAGGTGTAGATATCTCTGTTCATTGCATGGGAGTTGGACCAGGTGACCTTAAAGGGTCTCTTCCAACTCAAACAATTCTATAATTCTATTATTCTAAATCAACAAACAGCACAGAACCAGTATATTCCTGTTTCATTTTAGCAAATCAGTAGTAATCCTTAACTTGAGGGCAACTGCTAGGCCGTGAGGATGCTCTGCAAACAGACATATGACTCTGCATCTTTTACATATATGAAAAGAAGTAACCAATTTCCTTTGAAGACAAAAGTCTGACTTCTCCAGTATAGGCACTGAAGAGGAGTATACTTTCTGGATCCCAAATCACATCTGCCAGTTAAGGCAAATCAGTGTGTTTCTGGTGGCCATCCACATCACCAGACTGTTGAGTAACTGGCGAAAGAAAATGGAATCTACATGCATGCAAACTATTTCAACAATTAAACATCACAACTGGAGTTTTATAAAGAAATAAAAACAGGTTCTATTTGGACTCTCCTGAGAAAGAAAGCCTTAGCTTTTGAAATGCCTGGTGACACATGAATGATGTGTGACCAATTAAATGTGTTAAAACAATTCTCACAGCGATTTAAAAATAAAACAACACTGTGGGTTTCTGGTTTGTTATTGTCTGAAGGGCACAGTGGAGGCATTTGAAAATATGGTTCTTAGGATGAGGTATCTTTTATACTGTTAATACTACACTTAGCATCTTTTATGCCATAGTGCTCTTCAAACATACAACTAAAATCCCTGTTCCTTATCTTTTTGGCAAATAGATCATTTGTACCAATTTCTGCCTTATCTTCACCTTTTCTTCCTCACATTTGTTCCTCAAGAGCTCCATGAGGTCTTTCAACTGAAATAAATTGACAAATCATGATCTAATCCTGCCACCATCTTAGCCAGGAATGCATCTTCTAGCAGGCAAGTGAGACCTGGATTTAAGCTTCTTAATTACTGTCAATTTTGCTAGGCAATAGTTTGAAAGAGATATGCATTTGGTTGTAGCTCATAAAACATAAGGTTAGCAGCCCCTGTGCTTCCTGTTCCAAACCATTTTTATTTTGTGGTCCATCAATTTTGCGTTCTACAGGTTCTTTTCAGCAGTGTAACCTCTGAGAAAGTCTGTGTGTTGTATTTCACCTGATATGTCAATTTAGCTGCATACTGGCAAGTTAGGACCTATTTGATTTTTCTCTTTTTCTTTTTAAATTCTTCTTGGAAATATCATGGATCAAATCAAATGAGGCTTGCTTCAGTTAAGTACATACCTGAGCAAGCAAGCATGTTTATCACTAGTGAACTATTTGGAACCAGAAAGTTCAGCTGATATAATTTCATGGTAAATAAAGAGAAGGAGAGGAGCTAGCATTTGAAAGAGTATCACAGAACATGACTGTTCTTCACACAACTTATGGGTTAGTGAGTACTAATTATAAAACAGTAAAAAAGAGTCTAAAGAAAATCAACTTTGGTTATATTTTCACTGTGCACTCTGTTCCAGGAGCAGTCCTTGCATTCTTATGTAATCACATCATTTGCTAACAAAATTCTTCATAGACTTGGTCAGCTAAGTCACTGCTACTAAAATAATGGTTTATCTGTGTTGTTGCCAAATTAAGAGACAATCTTTGTTAAATATTAATATATACCAAAGAACCTAAGCCTATGTCACATATACCTCACAATAGAAAGAACAAGCTGATTGGAACAGAGACATGAACTCTTACACTGCTGTATACTTTATGAAACCTCATTTCATTAGTTGTGTAGCTAATGAAATGCACAGTTAGTGAGGACATTTTTTAATCCTTAAAAAAACAGCATCTATCTATTCAAAAGATAGCTTAATACCCTATAACACAGTTAAGGTTAAAATCATAAATTAGACAACAGCTTGAAGCCATTGAAAAACAATTCATTTTAACTAGGTTTATAAGAAAACCTTATCAGTGAGACAAAGAACAATTGGTACCAAAGAGAAACAAAATGATAGATGGCCATTAATATCACCCTATTCAAGCTCTGGAGGGTTGCTCCATCTTTTAAAATACTCTATTACACTTGTTTATGGAGGTCCTTTCCAGCTCTAAGGATTCTATGACTCCATGGAGACATGAACTAAGCTTCTTCGTATCTGTTTGAAGAAATTTCTCAGATATCAATGAAGTTACCCTCAAATCAAAACGTTGCAATGCAGAAAAAAGGAGGACCACAGATGTGAAATCACACTAGACGTATTTACTACATTCCTATGACAGGCACTCACCTTGTCAAAAGCTGGGTATACTGCTCTAATTTCTGTCAGCCAGCCATACGGCATGTGTCCCACAGGATAGGTAGCTGTCAGAATTGCCACTGCCTATGAAATGAGACAAGGAAACATAGACCTCAAATCTCTGAGCACAACAGTTTGACTAACATGCCATCTTCCATAAATACTGCTACATTGACCTTGATGCAATAAGAAAAATAGGCATGCAACTGGAAGGTCTTTGCTTCAGGGGGGATGGCCATCACTCAGTCAGGCATTCGGAGCTTAGGAAATCCATCATGCAATATTGTTAACATTACTCAGCTTTGCCATTTCACTGTCATGCTGATAACTTGGGGATGACTGACACCTTAAGCTGATGTGTTCCCTTGCTCAGATGAACACCACCCTCCCACATTTCTCCCAGACTGTTTTATCTAGAGATACTTGAGTAGCAGAATGAATTGGGGCCTTGTATCATATCTCATGATCTGAATTTAGACAGATTTTCCTTTATTATTCATACGTAGAACAGTTTTCAGCAAGACTGATTCCAAAGCAATAGCGCTCAGTGGCTGACTGAAGTTGAGTATCAAACTACTGTGCAGCATGAGGCACTTATGAAACAAAAGAAATGTGCTCTCCCAGCTTTGGTGCTAACCAACTAATTGATTGCATTTTGTTCACAGGATCAGATCTGTTATGATTCACCTAAATTCAGATTCATTTCTTATCTTATGGTAGAGTTAAGAAAGACTTTTAACTACTGCTGTGTGTTTCACTTCCAAACTTTCGAAGTACATTTTCTTGGTTATCTGACCACATTTTCCTGTAATAAATATAATTGCTGTCCTTGTCTGGTGACAGATCTAGCCAAATGCAGGAAACTGACGATGCAACAATTTGTTCTCTATGCTGTTTTGAAAAAAACCTCTGTTTTTCAAACAAGTGTTAATGTGCTCTTTGTATCTGTAGCTTCCGCGGAAACGAATAGGAGGTATTGCTTTTGGAGCAACCTGTGCCATAGAACAGTTCCACATGGGACTACTGGTAATTGTACTAAAACCTCTGGGATCAGAACAATCCAGAGCAGAGCTTGACAACCTGGGTGTAGAAACTGTTCAATGAAAAAAATTCACTGGTCTTGTTGAGGGTGAGAATTTGGTAGGCCTGGCAGAAATGCCCATGTATTTAGGACTTTTTCTTGACAGTATGGCTGAGAAGAGAAACACAGAGGCAAGTAGGTGTAAATGACCATTTGAAGTAACAGGGAACACTGACTTTCTCACCTCTGTGGCTGAAGAACTGCCACCTAGGTCTCGGGAGACAAAAAGGTTGACAATGGGCCTGCTTATTCGCTGAGTTGCCAAGATTAATGCCAAAGGCCACCAGAAGCTCAGCATCTTCCTGATCGTAGCCTCTCCCTGGAGAAAACAAACATAAAATAAGTGGCTTTGACAAGAAGCACACTGAACTGAATCAAAAGCACAGAGAAAGTATTTCTGTTTCTCTTACCCACTGTCAGTTTGGTGCATTCATTTCATTAAGTTTAAACAGCAGGACTCTAGAATATATTCATTCATTTTAGCAATAATGATTCAAAAGAAGTTGTGTTGAGGGTGTAAAAAAATAATGCACAAGGTACCTGAATAATTGTTCTGATTATTAATCAGGAAAAGGTATGTGAACTCCAATACAACATTCAAAGAAAAAGAAGTTTTGAAACATTCTTTCCCACGAAATAAAGCATCTGCTTCATTCGGTGCTGTCTTACAGCATTAGAAGGAGAGAGCTCAGCACTTGAGATATTAAGCAGACAGCACATCAATACCACCTAATGCACTGTCTGATGAGCATTAACAGCTCTGTAATAGATTCCATCAGCCCTTTTTAAACAAATATGGTTTTCCTTGCAGGATGGAGCAAGCAAGCCCTTCGTACATAGTGGTTTAATAGAGTATTGTAACACAAAAAGCAAGTTTAAAGTCACTTAACCACAACATCACCAAATATTAAGACATACCCCCATTTCGGGCCCACTTCTGTCAGGAATGACATCATGTATGTTCCTGTAGTATCCCAGGCATAATGTGGTACATCGGACAAGTGCTCCCATGTATAGGGACAAGATTGGGATCAGGAGAGGCTCCCTGCACTCCAAGTGACTGTGAAGCAAAATGGCTACAAAAACAACCTGCAGAGCACACAAAAGAAAAGATGTGTAGTTTGTCTGTCCGTTTCTTCAGGAATAACATATCTCCTGTCTGACTCCAAACAAGCCTGTCTGAGCCAACAACGTGTGACTATGCTATCTGACTTGCAGCATGCAGAAACTTCTGTCAGGATTCTTCCCTGCATTTGGTCACACAAACAAGAGTAATAAATTATCATCATACAGAAGCTGCATAAAAAGTACTTAGAGGCCTGGGCAGATGTCAGACTAGAGGCTATAAATAGGAGGCTTGCATTCAAGTCCGGTAAAGCCTGACATCAAGCATGTACGGTTGTAAGGGTGCCAACTCTCACAGGACAATTAGGTATCCTGATATCAACTGAGGCTGAAGACATGCCTTCAGCGTCAGCTTCTAAGTCTTGCCTTCTATATTTTTGAGGGGAGCATGTGAGAATTAAAAAGTCAGATGTCTTAAAGCATTCAACTCAAAATTTAGAAGCAGGAAGTCTTGTGTTATCTCAATTTTGTACTTTTCTGAATGCAATTTCAGTATTCCCTCATTTGCTCTTGAGCTGAGTGTTACACTGATGTTACCAAAACGGAAACCATTAGCCTAATGAACAGCTCATAATTACAACATGCAAAATGAAATGCTCAATCCAGAAAATGAAAGGAATTGATTAATACAATATTATTCTCTTCCATAGTCTCTTCCATAAGAGCTGACGGCATGCCTGTTAAATTCCTAGTGTCTCTGCATGGTGGGCACAACTGGGAAGCCAACTGCATTTGCTTTTGTGAACAGCAGCATCAAGAATAACTCTGCTAGAGGTTCCATGAGTTCCAAGAAATATAAAACACATTGTTCAGGGGCAGGTTCTGTCTTTTATTGCTAGAGCTTAAGAAATGCTTAAATCACATTGTGCACATATTTATTAAGCAGGCCATGATGTTTGAAAGGATTTGTAAAATAGCTTTTTTGAACTCCACAAAAGATTTCTTCAGTAAACTGATGCAAAGTCAGTCACAAATTGTGCACACAAAGCTATTTAAGGAGAATTATCTACTGCCTGTGCACCTATTGCTTGCGTAAGGCATAGATGTAGGTGTAAGGAAAGTTAGGGTGTGGAGAATCACTACATTTTGTCTTCTGGATTTGCTCTTGCTCTGTGCAATACTTTTTTATAGACTGGAGACAGGTGTCTTATTCTTCATGAGCCTGGCACCCCACTCACTTGTGAAAAGGCCACATGTACCACGGCCACAATAGGAATTCCAGTTTCTGTATTTAGGTGTAGATGACCTGACATGTATCTAAGGTCAGTCATGTCAGAACAAAAGCAGAGCCTGGGTGTTAAGGTCATTAAGAGTAATTAGTATTATCTTCAGGGATTTAATGTAGTACTGCAGAGGACCAGACATGCCAAACATAGAATAACAGCTGACTGAATAGTTTAACCTGATTTATAGTTTTCTCCTATTTTGTATGAAGAAAATGTGATGAAAAATTGAACTAAGTGCTAATGACCTCATATTTCCTTTGATGCTGTACTATTATTATACTCTTCCTTACCCAGTCACTCCCTCAGCTGGTAATGGGACAGTACAGTAACTGTTTACAGGCTCTGGGATCCTCCATTTAATAATATGTTTATAAATACTCTAAAAAGAGGGCTCTATATTGGTTCTCAAAAGGTACAGCACTGGACATCAGCAATGCATATGAATATAGTTTTGTAAGCGTGTCTCGTACGAAGCAAACAGGGTATTTAAGACCTCCTTCACAAATGGAAGTTCAAATGCTTGGTCTTCGCTGCTCCACCCAGGAGGTATCAGCACAGAAGGCTTCTACTGCAGTTCCAGGCTTTTGTCTTTTGGTCCACTAGCAAGAGCAGTGCTACAGAGGCACTCAGAAAATGGTTTACACCTCTGTGTTTCACTAGATTAAACAGCATGTGAAAACTGATGTGTGGACATCAAGATTTCACTTCCCTGCCTACATACTCCACTCAGGATCACAGCAGAACCGTGCAAAGCGTGAGGCAGAAGGTATATGGGGGAGAAAGATCTCTGTCAAAGCCACCCATCAGCCCCAGAACTGGTAGCAGTCATCAGTCTCTCTGTCTGACCTTTCTATTTCCCAGGTGTAGAAGTATATATAACTTGATTCTCAACCATCCCAACACAGTATTTGGAGGTGCCCTAAGCCAAACTGCCCTGGTTCCTTTCTTCTGACACTGCATCAAGATTAACTTGATCCAGCCAAGTGAGACCAGCCTACACCACAGCTGTCTGCAAAGAGCTTCCACGCAGTGGGGAAACTACTGGAGAGCAGCATGCAAAAGGCGATCCTGGTGTGCTGCCCGTGGTAGAGACAGAAGCCAATCTCCGTGCAAAAGCACCAGTGCTTAAGAAAGCATCTAATTCATAGCACAATGGAAACAGTGACTGCCAAGAGGAGCCATTACCTGAGCTATGACATCTGAGATGGAGGCACATCCCACCAGGAAACTGTACTTGTGTTTCAGAAGAATTCCAGCATGGGTCCATGCCTGAAAAAAAGAAGGCGGAACAGAATTTGGGAAATTATCATGCTATTTGTTACAGATTTCAGGTCCCAGAATGCTCTTTTCAGTATGCTATATTATACACAAAAAACAGTAGCATCTGGTGTGAACCTGGGTAAACGTTAAGCCAGCAGTGCAGAGAAAGTACTGCAGCTCTTAGTTCCTCTAGGCCTGGGCTAGAAGGAAGAATGGAAATAAACTTACTAATTAAATAGAAATTTCTGAGGAGGAGTGTCAGTAAGAAACTGTCCTAATAAAACAGATGCTGCATTTATCAGATTATCACACTAAACAATCTATCAGAAGAGTTGTTCTTCTCATTCTCACATTGGATGCATCTCAAAAATATAAAATTAATTACCTAAACTGAGTCCCATCTGGAAAAGAAAATCTAATGAATCAACATCCTTTTATTGTCAGCTACTGTTTTAAGAGGAGAAAGCAGTGGAGGCATGCCACAAAAAAAGTTATCATTTTTACTTTTATATAGAAGTATAGGAGTGAATTACTGCTGCCATATCATTGTTTACGTCGTGCCAACCACATGCAGTAAGCCTGGTGATGAAGAGAGCAGCAGCCCACGCACTTGAGATATGCTGGACATAGCTGTGCTTGCACAAAATGATGGTAACATGTATCTTTTCAATACATTTGCTTAGAAAAAGTATTGAGCTTATTCCTTGTGAGCTCTGCAAGTAATCGGAGAATGTTCAGTAAATCAAACTCTTCCACTGCTAATTGCATTGAAAAAACACACAGTCTGTGAGGCTCATCATAAGATGATCAGTGTTTTCCAGCATGCATATACACTAACTCTGACAAGGAAACTAAGGACTTTCACATTTGTCATGATCTCTGGATGTTTAATTCCACCCAGATGCTTTTTCCAGGTAGCAGAAGATGGCATGTTAGTGTATATCCAGAACTACTGCTTGCAAAGGACATGCCTTCCTCCTGCAGACCTTCATTTTCCCATCAAACAACAGACTTTGCAAACTAAGGGCACCAAAGAAAAAAACAGCATTCATATTAAAATTCAGCTGTGAATCATGCACTCACCATGGCATCCATAAAAGGGAAGGCAGCAAGATAAAGGAAGGCCCTCCGAGTTTTACTTCCCACTGATTCATCCACATGGTGTAGCTTATTAATTATGTAATACCCCAAATCGCTATACGCTGTAGAGATATAAGAATAGGAATGAATAATAAAGATTATATATGGATTCTGGGTAAGATGCCCCAAAGTACCAGAAAGAGGAGGATGCCTAGGAGATCAGAGAGCATCCACTCAGTAAACAGCTGCAGGGGCTTCAGGATGTTACAGCCTCACCAGCTGCTGTTTATCACTAAGGAGTGCTTTCACAATCCTTTTCCAAGTAACCTTTGGCAGAGGAGTGATAACAAATGGCTGGGTAGGGAGATGGGTATAATAAATGCCACATCTGTTTGGTAAATGAACACACTGCTATTCCAGAAAATCTACCACTCTTTCATTAACTCAGAGCTCTTTGTTAGAAAAGCTGTTATCACCAGATGCTGTGTATTTCATGGGTTATAGTGCCTTATAAATCCTGAAACCCCCTATTGCCACTGCATTCTCATGACATTACCTGTAAACCTGCCCAAAGCTATAAAAGGAGTACTATGAATTGCAGAGGCTCGCAATAAATCACACTCATTATGCCCTGTGAGTGCCTCTCCCTCACTGCCTAATGACCACCTCTGCTGGGACTGTCAGGGCACTACATAGCCTCTAACAGTTGTTACTCTCCTTCCTTGTTTACAGCTGGCATCTCAGGAACCACAAGTCAGAAAACGATTTTCTGCACTGCTGGGAATCACTCTATTTGCTGTCCATTTTCAGTCTGGGGAGAGTTTTTAGTGCTGGGTAAAACACTTCTCACCAGATTTTAGTTTTCAAGTGCAGGGTTGAAGACAGAACTATGATACGGAGTAAGGAAGAACTAGCTATGGCTAGCATGCCTGAACTTCAGGACTTGCGTAAATACGCATAGTTCAGTAATCCAAACAGCTTTCAACTTCTATAAATCATATTATAGATCTGCTTATTATCACATAGCTTCAACTACACCCTTGTAATAGTTGTCAAAAAAATGACTGAGTTGTACAGTCAAACTCCCAAAGCAAGTAGCTGAAAATTAACCTATACCTGGCTAGTCCGACCTCACTTCTCTTCTGTCTGTGTCTCTCCTAAGATAAAGATTTCCAGTGTGAATACTTTCACAGAATCACAGAATCACCCGGGTTGGAAGGGACCTCAAGGATCATGTAGTTCCAACCCCCCTGCCTAGCAGGGCCACCAAACACACACATTCAGATCAGGTTGCCCAGGACCCCGTCCAACCTGGCCTTAAACACATCCAAGGACGGGGCATCCACAACCTCCCTGGGCAGCCCGTTCCAGGGCCTAACCACTCTCCTTGTATAGAACTTCCCCCTAACATCCAACCTAAATCTTCCCTCCTTCAACTTCGATCCATTTCCCCTAGTCCTGCTGTTGTCAGCCCTTTTGAAGAGTTTACTCCCCTCCTGGGTGTAGGTTCCCTTCAGGTATTGATAGGCTGCAATGAGGTCACCCCGCAGCCTTCTCTTCTCCAGGCTGAACAAGCCCAACTCCCTCAGCCTGTCCTCATAGGGGAGGTGCTCCAGCCCCCTGATCATCTTAGTCGCCCTCCTCTGGACCCTTTCCAAAATCTCAATGTCTTTCAATGTCTTTCCTGTTTTTCAGTTTGTAGCAATTCTAGCATAATTGAACAGAGTACTTTAGGAAAGCCATCCTTTTCATGAAAGCAGGCCACATCTTTGGATCCACAAATACTTGCACTAGTTGTGCAATCATTTTAGCCCATAAATAACTCTCATAAACAGTGTTTGGAAGCAATTAAAAAGGAGTTTAACTCATCATTGTTTCATGATGGCTTAGGCATACAGCAGCTAAATGGTTTAAAGGACTGACAAGGGAGCAAAAAGAAAGATGTAGTCCAATAGCACTGAGAACAAATCTCAGACTCAATCCAGACAGGATTGAGGCTCACACCACCCCAAGTATATTTAAATAATAAAACCTCTCCATTTCCCTATGCTGGTCCATATCTACTAAAGTTGGGCTCACAGACTCTCATTTTACCCAGTAATCCTCAAGTTGGTGAGCTGAGCTTTCCTTCTGAGCCTCTCCACAACAACTGGACTAATTTCCTTTCAAAAGGTACTGGGAGAGAACTTCAGACTTTCCTGAGTTCAGAGAGTCCAGCTTAGTTCCTTAAGCACATTAGATACAAACAAAACCACAGCTCCTTCTTATTTTTGCACAAATATATTTGCACAGTCCAGACTCTAATTTTCACTCAGTACTTTGAAAAATGTCTCTTATATATGGATTATTGTATGCTAACCTTGTAAAAAGCTGCTTTTTTTGTAGCAGGACGTTACATCAATGTTTCTAAATTGACTTACCTGAATGAATGAGAACAAGTTTGGAAAGCATGTGAGGCAAGCTACCTATGAGGGCCAGGCTCATGGAGTTCTCTCTTAGGTCCTGCTGAAGTTGTGTTAAACTCCTCCTGCACAAAAGCTTAAAAACTATTGCAGGGAACACACCAGTCTTATTCCCCACAAGGAAACAAAGAGAATCTGCATCCAGCTGCTGAGGAGCCTGCTTTTGTGGAGGGGTCACCATCAGTGCAATGATGGGAAGATATCATGACACAGGAGTCAACATTTGTGTTTTCTACACACTTACCCTCTGGTCTTCTTTCCTACTTTAAAGGAGACTTCTAAAGAGTTTAGGAAATGAATAACAAAAAACTTTTTTTGGCTCTAAAAGCTATTAATATGCTTATTTATTTATTTATTTTGAGTTTAAGTAAACATTAAGTTTCACAGAATTAGCAGGGTCAAAGGCTGAATTACTCTCATGTCTAGGAACACCCAGTTCACCACATGGTTGTAGTTTACTGGCAGGGCACTCTCAAAGGACTTACACAACCACAGCCCACAGCACCAATTTTTTAGGATTTCTAAGGATATCAGAGCCAGGCTTTGTAAGCTTTAAGATTCGTCCTCCTCTCCCCCATCCAAAAGAAATCAACTCTACTGTGACTTTAATTTTAAAATAATAGTGGAGTGACTAAGCTAAGTTTAAAGGATAGTTTTAAAATACTTAACTATTTTCTTCCACCTGCCAGTGAAAGCACACGATTGCTTTTGCTGATGTCAGTGAATGCTTCCATTCTCAGAAAGAAGGACTCAAAAAGCTGAGATGCACTGACAAATATACAGGCGTGTGTCTCTGAGCTGTGATTAAAGCGACTGCTGATGCAATTAGAACTTAACCTTGGGCAACCTTACATACTTATTATGAAGCATGGTACAAAATTAATAACAGACAACAGGGCTGAAGAACACCACACGAATCTAAAGCAGATGGCTCTTCCCATTCCTTGCATCATTTCAGCCAAAACAGAGTCCAACTCCAAGATAAACTGCCTGTTTGCTCTTGTAATAACTCATTTATTTTGATGTCCATGGATTGGTTTTGCTTCTCATACAACAGCATTTAAGCAGGAACTTTTACTTTTGTCTTTCTTAGTTTTGTCTTAAGACCCAGAAGCTTACAAAATGATACTGAAATATTGTGCACCTAACTGGATCTCCTCTACACTGAGTTCTGCAATGAGCCAATTATTACCACATAAACTTCAGACATCCTTGAACAAGCGAACACACTCTTAATGATGCCAGTAGTCTCAAACAAATAGCTGCACTGTAGTCATCTCGGGGCTGTCTACACTCCAGCATGTTATACTTACATCATAGGAAAACAAAAAGAAACCCTCACAGGAAGTGATACCACTTATTTCCAGACACAAAACCTCAAATGTCAATATTTGCTTTCCACAATAATGATAATAAAAAAAAAATTAATTATGTTTTGGGGTTAAAGTGTTGCTTTTTTTGTTGTTGTTGATGTATTCCATATTCACATTTTGGTGCCAGTTTTAAAAATGAATTTAGACACTTGAGAAATAAAAATTGACTCTGCCGCTATTCAGAATGATGTCTCACAGGGCCAAAACTGGCTAAGTAATTTGGGTAGGTAGGCAAATACCAATTTGCTAAAAATAAGAAATGTTAATGGCAAGTCTTCATTTGGAGATGGTACAGGTTACATAGATTTCTTTACGTCTTTGATTAGCTTGACTTATAGCAGAAGCAGAAGCTTGGGTCCCACATGCAGAAGGCCAGATGATCTGGGTGTCTTGAGCTCCACGTTTCTCTTTTGCTCAAAGCAATGAATAAATAAGAAAACCACCTCAGGAAAAACTCAGTGTATACTGGTAACTGCAATTGTTGTCCTTTGTGATCAGCCATAGTTGCAAAATTGAGTTATTTTTTCCTAATCTGCCACTGTCAAAAGGCCCCTGGTTTATCTTTGGGTAGGCCAGCATCTTGCAAATTTCAAAATTAGTCTCTTTTAACTAAAAAACAATTACTATTCTAAAATCAACAAATGCTGTGGTCATAGGTTTTCTTCATTCTTCCTTTGCCCTTGAATACTTTGCTGATAAGAAATTGCACCTGTTTTGTAAGAAAGTTGTGGGTCAGCTGGGGAAAGAAGTCATTGCTTTAGCAACAGCTACTTGAAGATGCTGAAGCAGGAAACTGTTTTTAATAAATAACATTTTATCATCTCTTTGACGACAAAAATAAAAAGCAAGTCTGGTTTATATACTGGTTTGTGATCCTATGCTATCATCTTTTCCCTGGGCAAAAAGTTTAGTACAAACCAGTACGGTGGCCAGGTTAGAACAAGACTGACTGGAAAAAATTGCTCATTTTGGCACAAGCCCCACTATGATACCTAATCACTGAAAGATCTTTCACATATATGAAGTGACTATGCATGCAGGTTCAAAAAACTGCTAACAACTGATAAAGTTTTTACACCTGTGCAATCTGTGCATGAGGGGCTGGTGTCTGTTAGCACATCAGTAATAAACTGGAACAAAACAACAGGGCCACTTACATACACTTAGTGGACAGTCAGTCTGATGCGTTTGCCTTGTTACTAAAGTTCCCACCTTTTTTTTTCTGGTGATGCCAAATGATCCATTATAGAATTTTGATCAGCTGCAGTAGACACCAGTCAACGGTGCCTACTTAAGCAAAAAGGACGTTTCCCCAAAGTAACTTCTTGCCATTTCTAGAACCTCAGACAGGTGTAGAAAGTAATATTAGCAAGCAAAAGGAGATACACTTTTGCAGTACACCTTTTCTCAGTAAATCAGTGAAGCACTGAACAATGCTGTTTGCTTGCCAAAGAAAATGTGCAGATCCTATATGACACAAGAGCTAAAGGGCCTCATTTAGTACGGAGGAACAACACCTATGAAGTGCATTATGGAACATGATGTTCTATAAATGAAAGCACCATTCTCTCTCTCTCTCTCAAGTTCGTAATTTATTAAGATGCCAAAAATATGCACACAAAGGCTTATCATCTTGAATCGTTTCTCTTATAGCCCAATATTCCCACTCAAAAGCCAATCTCTGAAATAAATAGATGCTTTACATTCCTTCCTACAAGGAAACTAAACTGCTGGCAGTAGCTGCTCCTAAAATAGCACAAGGGAAGGAAGGCAGCATACTATCTTCTATTTCTAGATAACAACTGAAACAGCAAAGGCAGGAATAATGTACTGACCAAGGTTTACAGCAGCACTTAAAGTGGGAAGAGAAAAATCATTTCAGTTCTTTTTGGTCATGTCAATCAGTTTCTTGGTTCTTACTACTACCTGCACAGGAGAATTATAGGAACTACTGGTAAGGTTGTTGCAGATTAGAATGTGGTGCAGTGATGACTGCGAGTTTGGGTGGTTTGGCTCAGCCAGTCGTACCCACAGAGGAATGGGTTAGCCTCTAAGAAGAGCAGCAGTGGGCAGCTGGTGCTGAAGCAATGAAGTTAGTTGGGTGAAATGGTCCATTTTGATAGTTCAAGGGAGTAGAAACTGCTATTTGTGAGTAGCTGTGAGTACAAACTGCAAATAGTTTCAATCACAGAAATGTGGTGATTCATTGTGGTCACTGTGTTTCTACCATCACTTGTTTTCCTCCTTCTGACTTTTTGTACTTCTTGCTTCACTGGGATTTTTCTTTCCTTTTCCATCTCCTGGGCTTCACAATCCACAGCAGGCAGTCATGCCATCTTCTTTTCTCCCATACATATGGCACATAAAAGAAATTAAGTCCCCAGAGTGGTGTTCGTTTCAGTTTTTTATCTGCTGAACAGCAACCTGAATTTTTGTCTTCTGTAGAGTCTGTAACAGGCTTGCAGCTGTTGGGGAGTAGTTGCAAGTCCTAAGAGGTTGCTTGTTTGCCACTGGACTCCTTCTCTTCCTTCTGTTAGGAAAGCTGTGCATCTGAGGTTCAGAAAAGAATAATTAGGATTTGAAACATGTTCAAAGGAAACTTGAAACACAAAACTTGGCAACACTGCACCCTGGCAATTGGTGCTAGAATCTGACTAACTCCATTCTCTTGGGCGCTCTGCCAGTCCCTGCTGTGGCCTTTGCGTATTTTCAGGCAGAGACAAGTTAAAATACTAAAAAATATTTTGCAGTCTGCCACCATAAGCAGCTGAAAGATTGCGGAAAGCTTTTTAACTAACAGCTTTAAGGCACGGAAAGTACAGCCATTGTTTTTTATTTATTTTTCAGTACCTACACAGAGGGCATTTCAGAGGTTCTGAACGCAGCAGGGCTCTATTTCCAGGCAAAACCAAAAGACTTAGCTGGCATATTTTCAAGTGGCTGCCCAAACAGTTCCCTTCAATAAAAAGTCCCACATGGAAAATCCAGCTATGTCTTTTACCTGGGAACTTGATAGTTACACTTCAAATATTCTTAAAATCTGTAATAGTTTAAAATGAATTTCTGAATGACTAGAAAATATTTCATTTTTCCAGCTTGCTAAGCCAAAAACTTTGACCAGGAATGGCAGGAAAGCAAGTGTGCAACTAGAATAGCAGCTCTGGGGGCTGAAGAAACATTCTAAGCAAAGAAATCACAAAGCCAAACTTTCTAATGACCCAAGTTTTTAACAGTGGCTCACTGAAACAGATTCAACTGTAAACATATTGAGGAAGTGATCAGTAGATACTGGTGAAATAAATTGACTTGAATGCATGGATTCAAGTTAGAAAATTAGCAACAGCTTAACCCTGCCATGGACTTGCCGTGTCTAGTAAGCCATTATTGAAAGCATTTATTATGACTGTAACATAGAATAAAAATAAACTGTATACGACTGCTATATCTGTGGTGAAGTAATAGAGAAAACTGGAATGCTTGGGAGGCACACAGAGCCACTAACGATAGCTGACACCCTGTTACAGGGTAAGAGCATGGAGCATTCATGTTTACCTGCTCTATCCAGGCAGAAACTACATGCTGAGCAAGTGCTGTTCTTCAGACGCGTTAGTGTCTGACAGCAAATGGTGCCCCATTTCCAAACCACTTCCTAATTTCACAGCAATTCTCAAAATTCCCCTCAAACTTGCTTTTCCATTCACAAGCAATAGAGTGATCCTCTGCTGCTGGCCAAGCAGTTCAAAGTTACTGCTGGTCAACCAACAAGTGCCTCCACACTTGCTCCACACAGGCTATTGCATTAACTCCCTCCTCCCCCTCCACAGAGCTCCCAGCTTTGAGAAATGTACCTGTGGAACGTAATGCACTCTCTGCTTCTTCCTCCGATGTCTTCTCTTCCTCACTGTTGAGCTACAGAGGTTTCAATTCCATGGAATGAACAACAAGGTGCAGACGATCTGATGCAGTTCTTGGAGATGATGGATTTTAAGTCTTCCACATCACGTGGCTTTTTATTGTTATGGTCCCATGTCATTGTTTTGGCCAACATCCTGCTTGATGCTTGGGTTGATATGATATTTCTCCAGGCTCTCAGGAACAGTAAAATCCCATAGTTGCTTCACTTTTTATGTTCAGTTTAGGGTTACTTACGTATTTTTCTTGCTTCAGAGTACACTCAAAGAACTGACCTCAGTTTGGCATAAAGTACTCCTAGCAACTACTTCATCTCTCACAAATTAATTCCCAACAGAAGTGGATGATGTATCAGCACTCGTAATACCCGATATTTTAATGAGGTTGCTGGCACCTACTAGCTTACAATTTTGTACTGTATCATAAGTAGAAAAGGGACCAGTACAGAGGGAACACACCAACAGTGCCACTAAGTTCTGACAAACAGATCTCCCTAAAACACTTTGTAGTTCTGTCACAAAGCGATATGCCAAATGTGGGCAGATACTGCTAAGTTGATCAACACTACCTTATATTAACACTGAGCTATCTGCTTCACACAGCCTGTCAAACTTCCCAGAGTCCTGCTCACACATTTGACTGAAAAAGATGAGCAAATTGAGCAGCCAGGCAGGTGAACCCTGGAGGTGAAATCTGACACTTAATAACTTGTTTAAATGTTACTGAAAATTCGCATGCCTTCGGCATGATAGTGGTCCAAGCTTTCATCTCTTTTGCACTTTCCCTTGCACTTACCATAAAATCATAGAAGAACAAATTAATTAGTTTGAATACTAGCCAAGGGAAGTAAATTAAAAGATGCGTTAATTAGATTTGAAGTGACCTTACCTATTAAGGTATGGAATACAGCAGCTACAGCGCCAGCCACAACCATGCACAAAACTGCTTTGGTCCTGTCTCTCTTGCTGTTCACAAACACCAGACCTACATTTTTGAAGTCACTCATCGGACCAGTGAAGAACTTCATCAGGGAGTACGCCAGCCCATAGCTGGCCAGCATTTCCACAGCATCTTCCTTAACAGCAGCGATGCCCCTATTCAAGGCCTGTTGCAACAGAAAAAGACAGAGAAAATAATGCAGCACGTGTGGAAGCATATCAAAACAATCTTCTGCAGCTGGTGTCTGAAAGAACAAGCTCAGCTCTTGCTGTTTCCCCCGAGTTGACTCTTATTTCTTTGGGTTTAGCAGCAGTAAGTGATATGTAACATGGGTAGCTTCATAATTTCATATGGACTGTAAGTTCAAGTCATGCAGATTTGAAGATAGATTGTCCTTTAGGAACTAAGGTAGATATCCACTTTTAAAGTGTTCAATGGCATCCCTGCTGTACCAGAAGTCAGTATTTTTTTCCCCTTTTAAAGTAATTTTATGATTATGCAAATAATCATAGGTGATACAACATCATTTAAATTGGACTAAGGCCTCAATTGATCGGTGCCCAAGGCATCTGCAAAGGTAGAAAAAACTCTGATGTCATTTTTATGCTGAAATTTAGGATCTATGAGTTTTTTTCAGTGTAGTGAGCTTTCCACTCTATCTCTTATAAGAGGCTATTCTGAGTAACTGGGAATATCCCTTGATGTTTATTACAAAACTAGCCCAAATACACACATAACTAAACATATCTGTTCTTCTTTCATGCATTTAGATTTAGATTGAGGTTGGATATTTGGAATAATTTCTTTAGAGAGAAAGTGGAACAGGCTGCTCAGGGCACAAGTGGGGTGCCTATTCCTGGAGGTATTTAAGAGATGTGTGGAGGTGGTGTTAAGGGGCATGGTTTAGTGATGGGACTTGGAAGGTGAAGTCAGTGGCCTTCAATGTTTTATCCAGCCTAGATGGTTCTATGATTTCACAAGGTTCTGATCCTATATTCATTTACAGAACTTTGTAGCATATTTAAAAATGAATATGACACATCTATATGTGCGTATTCAGGTTCAAATAACCTAACAATTAATTCTAGGTCTATATTTAGGAAATGTCACTGAGAACTAGATGGATTATTCTTATAGGTAAAATGAACCACAAAAAAAAGTGTAGCTTTGTCTAAGATTTCGGCTTGCAACACAATGACTGTAAAATACTGAATACAAATGACAGAATGATATATTTTATATAAAGTGTGACAATATCAATCATCTGATATATTCAGAAAACTGTTAAAATAGGATTAGATTTGAAAAGCATGAAGGATGAAATTGTTTTCACAAATATTTAGCTCCTATGGGCTACAACTGCTCTGTCCTGACAGGGTTGTGACAGTTTGTCTTGCCAGGAGCATCTCTCCGATCCAAGCTGCAAATCTCAGTCTATCCACTTCCACAACACTTCTAACACTGCTTTTTCTGAACAAACAAAGCACAGACAGAATATCATCAGGTAATCAGGGTGAAGTCCTTCCAGTTTTAATGCAAGCATGCTTTTTCTCTTGCAATCTTTTGCTATTTCTTTTCTTTTTGCAGAGACCCTATAAGCAAGCAATTTGCACCAACTTCAAAAACCCCACATCCATACAGCAGAAATTACTATTTCTCCTAGCGTTCTTATCACTCTTTTTGCAAAATATACTTAATTTTTGAAACAAAAGTTGCACCATTAGCATACTGAAATCTGTAGAAAACACCAATTTCTCCATCCATTTTATCTGCCAAATCTCTCTTGCAATGTACTCTGCCCTGAAGATGTATGATTCCAGTGTTTTCATCTGTTCTGCTCAAATCTGTCCCCTCTTGAAAATACCCTCTGCTAGGTACTGAATATCTGCAGCTGCTATACAGAACCTTTTCTGCAATACAGATGACTCCATCTATAGGACTGACAAGACTTCAAATTATATTAAATCTGCAGATGCCAACTGCACTAGTGGGTGAATAAACTGTATTCAAACAATCTGTGGAAAAGAATGTGGCCTGTGAAAGGAATAGTTAAGTTTAGCTGCCATTTGTGATGGTGGTTGTAACGATACTGCATTTGGTATCAAGGTAAACAGAGTTATAATCTGTTCATTTAAATGTAATTTTAAGATGCTATATCTCCCTTTTGCTGTTGTCAGTAATACATACATAGCCTTAAATTATTTCCTGTATGGGATTCCTTCCTTGTAGCTTTTTCTTCTGTCCACATTGAAACATTTCTAGCAGTTTAAACTTAAAGAGCAACTGCTCACCAGTTTCAGGTTGTCCGCTTTAAAAGCTTCCTGTCACACGTAAACAGCTAAGTACCTTTTCCAGCACAGTTTCAAATGTACAAGTGCTTCTTTCCTTATTTGGACAACTACTGAATATCAGTCCATGGAGGAAGACAATCCACTGCTGACAAGGTCTCTGGGGCAAGAAGTGTGGTTTTAAGAAACCACATTATCAACTGGCACAGCATGAAGGTCTCTCCTTAAAGACGGGCGCAAGCCTTTGCAGAGCACAGTGCTCAAGTCAGTGAAAGTAGCTGTGTGTGACCTTGGACCTAGTACCCCAGAGTCCCACTCTAACTAGGATGGACAGAAAGACTCAACGCTTCTCCTTCTCCTCCTCTCTGATTTTACATACAGGCTGATCTCTTTCAAACCACCACATGATAGCTGAGCAGATAGTTCTGAGTAATTTTTCCCAGACACAGACTGTGTACCAGGTAACATAAGCTGGCAAAATCCAAAAGGGACTTTGTAAAAGGTTTGCTGCCATTGATTTATACTCCTGTGGAACAGTTGGCTAACATGATGAAATACTCTAGAGGCTGCCTCTGCAAAAGCAATGCTTCTAAATGTTTATTTGGAAAGATTCTTAAGAAATGAACCGTCAATGGAGCTGTGTACAAATGGTTTAGCTTCCGTAACTTTCCTTTTTTTTCTTTAAGATAACAGTACAAAATGTTTTTAATCCTCTGCTTCCATGCACTCTAAGAGAACTAGCCTTTTTTTTTGGCCACTAAAGCTCAGTTATCATATTTGATATCCTTAAATCCACAAGAAATCCCAGATAGTTGAAAAAGTCAGTTTGGGGTGCTATAAGAAAGATATACACAGCTGATTAAACTTCCAGTCTAATTTCCTGTTAGATTTTCAGTTAAGTCTCTCACAAAAGAAAAAAACAAACATAAACCCGGGCAAGGTTTCCATTTTTTTTCATCTGATTCCATTTTGTACACTTTTTATATGCACAAAATTACTAATAAAAATTGATCAGTAGCATCTGTGTTCCATATTTGTTTCACACACAAAAGAGCATATCTCTGCAAAGATTTATATGGCATGCCAAAAGAATCACAGAACTAGATGGTGATAACAATCATGACAATACTTACACAAGAAGTTAGCTCAATTATACATATTTCAGATGCCATTCTACTTTCAGCTGGCTCATTCACATCAGTTTTGAAGGGAGAGCTAAGAAATCCATATGTTGAAAGAAAGACTGTTGGTGATGGCACAATCTCCTCAGTTTTTAATGAACAGCTAACCTAATTTGTCAGCTGGTGAAAATATCACAGTAAACTGCTTTTCTCCAAACAACGAAAACAGCCACTGCCACTTCTCACTCCTCTTTTAGAAATATCATAAAACACGGAATACTTCCAGGCTGATCACTATCTTGTAGGTACACAGACCAGCTGGTCAAAGTAAATCATACTGCTCAAACACTCCTCCACAAGGCAGGGAACCAGATTTATAGCTACTTCTATTCCATGTCTTGTATAACATATGATGTTATTACTAGAAAGATGAGATCTTTGCTAGAGGACACACAAACACCTTGAGCCCCTTTTAATGAAAAAAATGTGTGCTGCTGTTCACTAAGATCAGAAAGGACTAGGCCACATCTTCAGAACTGGTACTGCTGCTGGCTTCCTTTTCTTAGAAGGAACATATGTGACCTCCATCAGATTTCTAGGAAATGCACAATGGATGAATAAAACAATTTTTGCATGAGAAGACAATGATTTAAAGAGCAACAATTGTGAAGAAAAAAGGCAGAGGTCTGGCTTGTCCTATTTTGCATGAGCTTTCAACACTACTCACTAATACTGGCAGAAAAAGTTTGGTTCCAGTTAACAGCTCCATATCCTGTTGCTAAAAATTCTGTTTCTGAGCTCTAAAGAGTTTGATCGCTTCTCACAGGATCCTCCCACAAAATAGTTCAGAAAACATTTATAGGATGTTCTCCCTCTCCCTGTCTTTCTCCCAACCTGCCCTCTCCTCTGAAAGTGGAAAAGAGCCAAAATACCTGGTCAAACAACAAGCCAAGGGACAGTCCTTCTCCAGTGTCTAGTAATCCCTCTCTTTATAATTGTTGGCAGCGTTTTCATTTTGTAAATCCTGACGCTGAAGTCTTTGGTATCAAATTTACCAGTTATCTTTGGCAGTTCAGCATTGCCAGTCACACCTGCACAAATTACACTGCCAAAATATCATGTGGCAATTCCAATAGTCCATCGGCATGGAATAATCAGACCACTGTATCAGTGCTGTCAGAGCGCTGGCATATCTGTAACTGTGCTCTTATGAGGAGGCAGGAGCCAATGGTAAGCAACTAGACAGAAACAAAGTGTTGTGTCTATAACTTTCACAGATGTAGGCATTGAGGTGGGAGAAACTGGAGTAAAATTGTCTCTCAGACATTTATTCTGGCTCAAGAAGGTTTTCCAAACAATTTGAAAGAGACAGCCCTGAGGAGGTAGAAGTGTCTGACCTTGTAGTTAGAAACAATGACTAATAAGTGTTCAGTGTTATGTGCCTTTGTTGTTGATCACATGCCAGATAACTGAAGGGCCATCCAAGGCCAGCTCCTCTTGGCCCCTTACCAGAACACCCTCCGTGCTTCTGTGCTGAGGCCTGTACCAGGGAGCAGCCATGCCATCACTTGGCTGTCCCTGCCCACACTTCTGCACGTGGCCAGATCATCCCAGCCCATGAAACTGCCAGCAGCAAGCTACAATCGACAACTCCACAGCCTAGTGGTGTGGTGTCTGGTTTCTGGAGACCATTGGGGCTGTCCTGAAAATGTGGGTCGAAGGGTTTTTTATCTCTTGCTGCTTCCTAACACCCCTCC